GTTATGACAGCTTTCATTGTTCTTATTTTCCTTTCAAAGTGGGCAATGAAGGAAAGATGAAGGCACAGATTTTGTCATTTCATAGCTCCATGTTGTTGATGGGACACAAACCATGTGTGTGTGTGGGCTCCCGTCAGATGTATTTATAGCCTCATTTCAGGACATTTTCGGCAGCTGTTTGCTAAAGTAGAGTCTTCTGAAAAGGAAATCTTTCACTCTGTGTAGCATCTATTAAAACAAGGCCACTGCTTAATCGTAAGGCACAGATTTAAGACAAATCTAATTGAATTTAAATCTACTGTAACAGTGCATGTTCTTTAGGCCTTGTGCACGATTCACGATCTGTTTTTGTTGTATGACATATTACACCAAAAAAATATTGTGATGAATGATATAATTGTCATTTTTAAGACTATTATTTAATGCCAAAATGGCAATATCATATCATTACAATGCAAGTACGTTCTTCCAATGAACACATCATACTTTATTCTTAAGAGTATTTACTTAAATTGTAGTCATTTGCCCATTTATTAATTTGGCTTTGGAGTCAAAATGTGAAAACGCGTATCCTAAATTAATAATATTAAATGTTAATAAAAAGTGCAGGGTAAAAAGTAAGAGGCTGCGATATTTGCTACCAGATTGGTTTTCAGTTGTCAGACACCCACATGAAAATATACTATAGTAATTTGTAGTAAATGCTATCGCATTCTCTTTTTTTTTACCATACTGACTCCTCCAATAGAGATAGAGATGTTGCACAATCAGCAAAAATGTTGCTAGAATTGGTTTTTATGTATGGGCAAAATATATTGCATCACCAAAAATGACTGAGGTCATGTCCTTGTGTTTTGCCATCGATATATTGATTATTATGACAGGCCTACAATTCACACATTCATCCTCGTCCTGTTCACTGCAAAAACAAACAAACAAACAAAAAAAAATCTGAATACGAGAAATGTGGAAATGATTTTAAGAAATTGCAGACAAATTCAAAAGTCAAATATCAGTGGTCAAAATATTGAATGGGGACATGTCAAATATTGGTGTGGAACTGTCCCCACCAATTACTGAAATGTCCCTACCAATAATTTAATCGACTTCAAAATAAAGTAGTCCTCGTCAACTCTTAACTTACATGTGCACCTAGTCAAGTTCGCTACTAGTTCACCCTAATATTATAATTATTAATTAAGACTGTGCAATTAATTAAAACTAATTTTGGACTCCATAACTATGAAAAACAGTGAGCGCGATAAAACAGTTAAATTGCGTCACGCACCTCGCTAAATTTCTCTACATTCATACCTCCTCAAAGCCCGACTGCAGTAAAATCTTGTAACTTGACTTTTGCAGCACGGCGTTGTTTTTTGTATTATTATGTGTAAAGTTTATATTATTCAGTACTTTAATCATGTTTTTAAATGCGCTGTTTGCGTGCGCTCTAGGGAAGTATGTCCCCACCAATGTCAAAAGTGAATCTATGCCCTTGGCCAGTGCGATAAGATCTTAAAATAAGTATTATAAAACTTTTTCCAAGCAAAGTACTCTAATTGTTTTAGGACTATATTGTTCATTGCAGCAAAAAACTGTTTGCTTTTCTTATTTTGTGTGAAAAGGCCTCAAAACTAGATTTACTGAACAGGAGAATCCTCTTATATTCTATATAATGCCTTATTGATGCCAGAGGTCAGAGGAGAATGGCCAGACTAGTTTGAGTTGATAGAAAAGCAACAGTAACTCAAATAAACACTCGTTACAACTGAGGTTTGCAGAAGAGCATCTCTGAACATACAACACGTTCAACCTTGAGGCGGATGGGCTACAGCAGCAGAAGACCACACCGGGTGCCACTCCTGCCAGCTAAGAACAGGAAACTGAGGCTACAATTCGCACAGGCTCACCAAAATTGGACAATAGAAGATTGGGAAAAAGTTGCCTGGTCTGATGAGTCTCAATATCTGCTGCGACATTCGGATGGGTCAGAATTTGGCGGCAACAACATGAAAGCATGGATCCCTCCTGCCTTGTATCAACAGTTCAGACTACTGGTGGTGGTGTAATGGTGTGGGGGATATTTTCTTGACACACTTTAGGCCCATTAGTACCAATTGAGCATCGTGTCAACCCCACAGCCTACCTGAGTATTGTTGCTGACCATGTCAATCCCTTTATGACCACAGTGTACCCATCTTCTGATGGCTACTTCCAGCAGGATAATGCGTAAAGCTTGGTGCTAGTACTGTAAGTACCTAATAAAGTGGCCAGTGAAAACTAGTTATTATAGCTAATTTAAAGTCTTAAATATACAAAGCTGATCTTAAACTATGTCTGATTGTAATTAAGATAAATGTGCTGTTAAAATACCTAACTTTACTAGGTAAGAAAAATGGATGATGTTGAAGACACTCTCTGATCTGGCACAGTATTGTATTCTTAAAACCAGATCAATACAATTTCTTTGCTTAGAAATAAGATGTTAGCTGTTGACGTTAAGGAGTTTTTGCAGTGTTCTTGTCCACGCTTCTCCTCTTTCAGTGTTGTAGACCCTTCTGTGCTCCCTTGGGGTCTGTGTGTATGTATGTGTGTGTGTGGTTTTACAGTGCCCAGGGGCTGCTAGCAGACGCAGGGAGAGCACTGTGTCCTTGTGGCCTCTCAGCAGGGTGTTTTTCTCCCATCAGCCCATTCGCTGAAGCACATTCAAGTAACGCCATAAAACTGAATGCTAAATGTTGGCGTTATCTGCTCTGTAATGAAAAGCCCATGAAATTGATTTAATGCTGCAGCGCTTCTCTCAAGCAGCCTCTCACGGCGGAAACACAAAACAATGAGCCTCCGAGATCTAATAATTAACCCACCTAATCCGCCAGAGTTAATCTCTCGCAAGAACTTTGTTCCAGCGCTAACTTTGGTGCAGGGAGAGAAGCCGCCGGGGGACAGAAGATGCTGAGACGCAGCACCAATGACTTCGCTGAAGGACACTTGTGCTCAGCAACAGCGCAGGCAGGGACCCGTGACTGCCATTAGCATTAGCATTAGCATACTGATTTGTGTTTTGTGAAGAGATTAATGAGCTGAGGAGAGAAACAGGAAATGACATGCGTAATTTAAACCAGAGAGACCACAGAGGGGTTTGGATTAGCTCTTACCATCCTTAATCTGGACTGTTTTAATTTTTACACGAGTGGAAGATGTTGCGCTCTATTGATTATACACATGATAGCATGTTCCTTCCTCATCACATTTGATTACATTTATTTTTACTGCTTTTGTTGAGTAGACAGATAGTTATGTTTTTGTGTGAACTATCCCTTTCAAATTTGGATTCAGATATTAGAAGTGATAAATCTCCTGGAGTTGCCACATCTTACCTAGTGTGCAATGTAATGTAGACACCCAGGGGTCACCAACCCTGTTCCTGGAGAGCTACCTTCCTTCAGAATTCAGTCCCAACCCTGATCAAACACACCTGAACCGATTAATAGTATCTAAAACAGCACTTGATAATTACAAACAGGTGTGTTTGGTCAGGGTTGCAACTGAAATCTGCAGGAAGGTAGCTCTCAGGAACAGGGTTGGTGACCCCTGCACTAGACACAGTCCCTTCATAGTAATCAGATGCTTTCAAGCCCTGCTCAACGGTATAATGGTGATAGTGAGTGGATCAGCCATCGAGGTTTTGTACTCGCAACCACTGGTTTTCTCAACTCTTTTCCTACTACACCTTGAGAGTAGTGCATGTGGTGTAATGACATGTTGTGGAGGGGCTGGAGACTCTCTAGCAGGTCTGTAGAGCTCTGATGAGCAGCTGTCAGACGCAGATACACGCCTTCATTAAAGCGCCGGGGCTGTAATTACATTTGTTATGAAACAATAGAGCCATAACTACTCTGGCCTGCCGCATTTCTTTAGTTGGCTTCTACAATGATGATGATTATGTTTGATTACATTGTTTGAACACTGAACTCAGAACTGTCGTTAAATATGTAGATTCCTCAGCCGTCGCTCGGTTTACCACAAACAAAAATTGCATGCTGCGAATCACAATGTCACTCAACAGAGTTTGTCCTCAGTTTTGAGCAGAAATCAGATTCGCCTTTATTTCATGAAAAAGGCACGTTTAGATGAGATGCACACACACACACACACACACACACACACACACACAGACACACACACACACACACACACACACACACACACACACACACACACACACACACACACACACACACACACACACACAGTCATTACTACCTGCCATTATGGACTTTAAAGAGAACATGTCCTCTGGTGCATCTCGGTGAGATAATAGGCACTTCGTTGCAAGCAATTAATCCCACAATCCTCTGCTTTCAGTTCTCCTCTGTCCGCTCGTGCTCCATGTCCACCGTACAAATGATCCCACTGATGGATTGAGCTGTGATGCGTCTCCGTCAACTCTCTTAACACATGAGGGTGTGTTAAATCATTCGCTTTCTAGATCCTCTAGTGCTGTTCAGGCAAACAAGTACATTTGTTTTCCCTGTAGAGTAACGTTTTTGTTTTTTATATGTATAAATACCCATAATTCTGCGCTGCTTGCATCACATTAGAGCGATATTGTGAAAGCTTGGGAAGCAGTCTAAAGTGAGTGCAAATTAACTTTTAATATGTTGCATTTTTCCAAGACGGTGTGAAAGAAATAGCTGACAGTCCCTCCATGGGCAACGTGTTCCTGTGCTGTCTGTAATTAAAACACTGCTGAAAAACAGAGAGAGAGCGGCTCCAGATCAGTCCTGCTAGCGCCACTCTAAACCATTTTATTTGAGTAATTATATTTGAGTTCTTTTGATTTATATGTAATTATATGAATGGTGATGCTGCTTCTTTGCCGTGTGTGTGTGTGTGTGTTAGTGTGAATAGAGTTGTTCCCTGACGCTCTGTGTGTTGATGTGGCTGTAAATTTGATGAAGAGCAGTAGTGAATCATTTCTCTCTCTTTTTTCTGCGCAGGTTTTCCAGCGACGGCGTACGGACCGGTGGCGGCGGCAGCAGTGGCGGCAGCACGAGGCTCAGGTAGGGCGACCCGGGGAAGAAGCGGCTACATGGCGTATCCACAGAATGCAGGGCCAGGTAAACACTCTTTACCGCCTGTGTTCTGAGTGGCCACTGCTCCCCTAGCCAAACACACACACTCACACTCACACTCACTCATCATGTGCATCATGTCTTGTCCACTCCATCATTTAACAGTTCTCTCTGCTAATGACCCAGACAGATCTCTCTGGAAGGACTGAATACATTAAAAAACCCAATGGCGTTTCAAAGCAAATTTGTATGGTAGCTACACACTAGAAGTCATTTAATAAGCATTAGCAAATTATTACTTTTCATTTGTTGAGCATTAAGTCTACATTATGAGACAGTAATAAGCAGTTTATAAATGCAAATGCTAAAGCATTTATAAACTTTATAATGTGCTTAATAATTGTATTTTCATGCTTTGTTGTAATGTAATGTGTATTAATATTGCGCATTTATTGTGTATGGCAATACACCCAAAGTGCTTTACAATCATAAGGGGGGTCTCTCCACACCACCACCAGTGTGCAGCATCCTCTTTGATGATGCGACGGCAGCCACGAGACAACAGCACCAGTGCGCTCACCACATACCAGCTATTTTAGGAGTGGAGAGACAGTGATAGAGCCAATTAAGTGGATAGGGATGATTGGGACGACATGATTGTAAGAGCCAATTGAGGGACTTTGGCCAGGACAACGGAGTTACACCCCTGCTCTACGAGAAGTGCAGAGAAGGGCTTTGTTACTGATTAATTTTTCACTACTAATTTAAGTAGTGCATTACAGTGGACCTTTGCTATAATATGGTTCACCTTTCGTGACCCAAACAATAGAAGATTGGAAAAATGTTGCCTGGTCTGATGAGTGCATTGTGGTGTTCTGTGTTCATTGATTGACAATTGTCAGTCAATCTCCTCCGTGCCGTGTCTCCTGTACAGTACAGTATTTGTTCAGCTTGGCAAATTTATTATTATTATTAATAATAATAATAATTATTATTATTAAAGAGGAAGATGCTAACTATTACACAGAAAAGCTGGACTTCTGGACATGCTAAACGAAGGTAGAAGTTGTGCAACTTTATTCCAGAATAAATCAATCTTCGGTTTGTTACATAAAGGAGGAGGAAAATAACTCGTAAAACTTTTAAATCACTTGAAAGAGATTAAAATAAGCTATAAGTTTCAATGAAGAAGCAAAAAGGGTAGTAACTGTCCGCAACAAGACTATCGTGAGGATAGAGTCCGCTTTAGCTTTGTGGATCAGTGACTGCAGGAAAAATGTTAATGTCTGTCTGAGAAAAGTGTATAAACCCAGCAAGCATGTTTTGTTTTTAAAAGATGTCTATTAGATGTCTAAACATAGTCGTCTTGGCTAAAACAAGTCCAAATTTGGGCTGTCAGTGAGAATCTAATAGACATCTAAGAATAGGCCAAAACTAGAGTAGTCATCAAATAAACAGAAACGAATGACTGCACATATAAAGTCTGTCTAATCTGTCTTTTTGACGACTAGTCTAGTTTTGGGCTATTCTTAGATCTCTATTAGATTTTCACTGACAGCCAAAGTTTAGCCTTGTTTTAGCCGGGATGACTATGTTTAGATGTCTATTAGACATCTTTTAAACACAAAATTGTTTGCTGGGAAGTGTGTAGTGAAGGGTTTTACAGCCTTAAAACATTTTAAAAAATTGTAAAAAATGAAGGTTATTACTTTGCGGATTACACCTATTGCGGGTTACTTTTAGAACGTAACTCCCACTATTAACGAGGGCCCACCGTATTTCCAAAACGTTTGTATTTAAGAGTAGTTAGTGGTTTTTAATGCCTGTTTACTATTAACAGTTTAATAGTGTTTTATAAAGTGTCCTTATTATAAACTGTTACCATTTCCGTTACTTTTGGACATACTTAAGTTCAATTGATTTTTTTTTTTTAATTGAATGTTAACTCAATGGCTGGGTGTGTTTGAACCAGATTTTGTTTGAAGCAACCCAGAATTACAGAATTAGTGTACAGGCCTTTCTGTGATAGGTTACTGTAGTTTCTGCTAAGGTTTCAAGTAATAGTTTATCCAAAAATGTAAATTCTGTCATAATTTTAATCTCTTTCAAATAATTCAAAAGTTTTACAAGTTTTCTCTTTCGATTAAACACAACATAAGATATTTTGAGAAATGTTGGAAACCAGTAGCCATTGACATCCAGAGCAGGGAGAAATATGCAGGTTTATTTATTTATTTATTTATTTATGCAGTTCAACATTATTCACCATATTATTTTTTGTGTCAAACTGATGAAAGAAACGCAATCAAGTTTTTATACCATTGCAATAAAAAACACCCGAAATGGCAGTGAAAGGGGTCCATACATTCTTCTCATTAGTAGATGAGGAGCAGATTAAGCGAGAGCTGGTTGGGATGACACAAATTGATTTTGTTCTTTAAAGTAAAGCTCAAAAGTAGAGGCGGCAAAACTACAGGGATAATTACAAATACTCTTAACAGTACCAAACTGCAGTGCAAATGCAAACAGAACCAAACCGTACCATACTGCGCAGTGGAAAAACAACTCAAATGTAAATACATCGTAATACAGTTATTGTATGAACACTTACTCAAGTGGAATTCACTGAATTGTAGACTGTTCTGTGACTCACCTGAAATAGTCAAATGTGAGTTTTGCTCAGGCGTGCCTTCATCAAATGTTTCTGTGGCCTCCACATGAACAGCATTGTGTGGAAATATTCAGTGAAAGCAAATAAAGGGTTTTTGGCGTGCATTTTTTTAAATGTCAAGATAAGCTTCCGGCATTCTGTCATACAAGAATGTGATTGTGTCATAAAGACAGCGATTCTTGTGGGTTTCTGCATAGTCAGTGCATTGCGCATAATGTGTAATAATGTCACGTGCATTGTCAGTTAATCATAAGTTGATGCACTTTTGAAGGTCAAATGGAGACTAAGTTTAAATGGTTGACTTTGTACATCGCATTCGAATGCTTGTCCTGATCTTAATGCTGCAAATACACTCCATGCTGACGTAGTTCATGTCTTAAGGGTCCTGCTGCTGCTCGAATATTACAATGAACACTAGATGCCAGAATAAACATCTGAACACCAGGGTTGTTCAATTTCAGTGGGAGTTTATTGCCCAGTATAACTGCACTTAAAAGTCTCCATGAACCATACGTTGCTGAGACTGTTATTTCAGTATGTACTTCCAACTGAAACAGAATACTGAGTAGGGGCGGGGCTTTCTTCTGTTGTAGCAGACTAATGGTAAGAGGGGTGTGGTTAAGAATATTACTATGCAGTTACTATGGAAGCCCTCAAGTTGATGTAAACAATGACCGCCATTTCAAACGCAGAAGCAAATATTTAGACTTTGATTAAGCATTACCACAGCATTTCTTCTTTTAGTTGAATAGCTTGAGGTGACACGGTGGCTCAGTGGTTGCCTTACAGCAAGAAGGTCGCTGGTTTGAATCAGTTCAGTTAGCATTGCATGTTCTCCCCGTGTTGGTGTGGGTTTCCTCCGGGTGCTCCGGTTTCCCCCATGGTCCAAACTAGGGCTGTGTGATTTGAGGAAAATATCTTATTGTGATATTTATTTTTAATTATTGTTTATGTTTTTTTTTTTTTTTTTACAGATTTTGATTCATGATTTAATTTTGTAGTCAAGCATCAGCTCAATAATCTGTATCATAGCTTCTTACTGGTAAATAAGGAACGGAAAATATATTATATTTACAGTTGTTCCCAATTGTTTACATACATTTTCTGAAAGCATGTCTCATTGTCAGAACTCTACACACAAATCAAAAAACACACACACATCAGGCAAAACCCTTCAGTTCTCCTGCAAAATGATACTTTACATTCAAAACAATGTGATTTTTTCTTAAAATGGTATTTTGTTTTCAAATGACACACACAAATCATCACATGACTAGACATTTATAAGAACCAGTTGATCACTAATGTAAAACACTGACCACTTCTTCTTCATTTATTATAATGACTTACTGTAACCCTGTTTTTGTTCAGTGTTACACTTACTTCAAACCGTACACAAGCCGACATAAGTGTAGTCAAATATTTCTGAACTTTTTTATACAAAACATAAATACACTGTACCAAATATATTTGATTTGATTTTTTCCACAAAAACAGTGTACACAGTGTTCATCCCAACCAACACAAAGTTGCACATACGTGGTCTACATATACCATCAACAAAAGTCTTTACAGACTACAGTTAGAGTTAAAAAAAAGATGGATTTTGGTCATATACTTTCCATCCCCAGGCAGAAAAAAATAAGTTTTAAAAATACAAAAAAAAAAAAAAAACACACAGCAAACTAACATGGCAGAAACAACTATGAACTTGTACTTTGCTGTTGCTTGCTACTAAATCAACAATTCAGCGACAGCTCTTACAAATGACCTGTTTTTGTTAAGTGTATTCCCATATTACTAATCTCCTGTTTGTTTTTGATATTAATTTGTCTATTAATGCTTCTGAAGTGGCAAATTCCATCATCCAACTCGTCTGCACTTTACTGTTTGTATTCGTTTTTTATTGGGAGTGTTCTGCATAGTGCAGTTCTGATTGGGCAGAACAAAAGTGTGCTCACTCAATTGGCTAGCAAGACTGTCACACACAGAGAGAGCAGTCACACATTTGTTCTGGGCGGGAGAAATTAAATAATACATATATATTTCATATCGCACCCTCTTGCGCTTAGCTAATCGAAACGTTTCAAAACATGATTGTAATTGATTTCGATTAATCACACAGCCCTAGTCCAAACATATGCGCTATAGGTGATGAAATAAACTCAATTGTCCGTAGTGTATGTGTGAGAATGAGTGTACTGTATATGGATGTTTCCCAGTACATGGGTTCCAGCTGGAAGGGCATTTGCTGTGTAAAACATATGCTGGATAAGTTGGTGGTTCATTCTGCTGTGGCGACCCCAGATTAATATTGGGACTAAGCTGAAGGAACATGAGTGAGTGAATAAATAATTTGATTGGATTAATAATTCACCTTAAGAATAGCAATGTGAGCGAGCAAAATAAACCAACATTTTCATTGAATTATTTTCAGAAACACACACACACACACACTCACACACACACACACACACACACACACACAATCCCTCATCTAAACTGAGCAATGGCCTTTTCACTGCTGTGTCCTGTTAAAGGGAGAGTGGCAGTGATTCAGGTGAGAGTGTGTCCCTCTGCAGAGACTCTTCTGGAGACACATCTCCCTGTGCGCAGCGCTGGCGGTGTGTGTGTGTGTGTGTGTGTGTGTGTGTGTGTTGTCCTCTTCTGCTTTGCTGAGGCATCTCCCCCTGGATCTCTCTATTCGATTCAGACCAGTGCAATGCTCTCTCAGAGGAGGATCATGGGATGCTTGCTGTTTTTCCAGAGGTTGTCGTAGGCACACCGATCCATTCCTGATCATTAAGGCAGAAAGGACCTTTGAGTGTCTCTTTCTTTTGATTCACCTCATCATGTGCAGCTTTTCTTTTCCTCACCTTTTCATCCCCCCATCTTCTATTTCCATCTGTCCTCCTGTCTTCATCTCCTCTTCCCCCAGCGAGTTGGTGGTTGTCGTAAGACACTAACAGATCAGTGGAAAGTGATGAGTTTGCTGAGCAGATGGAGTGCAGTGGAGGCAGTTTTCTGGGCCCTGGTGTATTGTGGGAGAGCGGTGTTGAGCATTGTTCTCTTGAATAAGCAGTCCTGTGTCGGGGGATTTTCAATGGCCAGCGGTTGCTCCATTTAACCCCGGCGTCCTACCGAATGTGCTGCTCTTCATTTTTTTTCCTAAAGAAACTCCAAGAGGGTTCAGGTTCATTTGTTCTAATTAACAGACAGAAGCATGGTGGCATTACAGGGTTGTATTGGAGAAAGCAGATGAGTTGTTGTTGTTGCGTTCTGCTCTGCTACAGTGGGCCGCCTGCCCATCTGCCCGGGCATGAAGATGCTCATGTTTGGCAAAATACCTCACATTATCTGAGATCATTATCCATTTCATCCCAACAAGCTCTTGAAAAGCTTCTCTGTGGATTTCTAGTTTGGCTTGTGTGTAAGATGTTGCAGTAAAGCACAGGCTCAGGTTGCTGGATTGTATGTGATGTAAATCCCTCAGAAAATTCAATTACAAAATGCAGCTATGTTGTAGCAACAGCCTCAAAATATGTTGCCCTACTGAGATCTGCAAAGATGAAGCCTTTTTAGAGAGTGAGTCTGCCATTAGATGCTTTGTTTGAAGGAATCATGTCTTTGGATTACTTATTTCATTAGCTCTATTTATTACTTGCAGAATATATATTTTGCAGACACCTAATGCCGAGTTCGGGCTGCACGATTTTCTAAGTAGTTGTGATGTTTTCACACTCCATGACTAAGGGTCGTGTTCTGTCGCTGCTGTTTTTGCACTGCAGGATGGATCAGCGACAGGGTGTTTCACACTGCATGACTATACAATTGGAAGAATCGCCGACAACTTTGTCTTGGTCCACAAACTACGTCTCACAACCAAACACACATGAGAAGTGACATGAAAACAACGCAAGGTCACATAGTATATCTTTTGTTATTAACTACACAATGAAAAAGAAGCCTTTAGTGGGGTAGAAAATTGAGCTCACCTGGCTTTTGAAAAGAATTAGTAATTTCTCTCAAACTTTTTTATTTTTTCATTTGTGTTATTGCTCAGATGACATGTCAAACAGACACAGGTGCTCCTGCCAAATTTACACTAGTTTTTCCCTCTATTCTTGGGTCCAAATAGACTGAAAATAAGCGCTTTTAACTTCTTCCCTAACCTCCCGCCGGTCTGCAGATACAGTAGCTATACGGGTGGATGCTGCTCTCTCACTGGCTGTAGGTAATCACCGGTATTGAATTTCAGAGCAGTTCACTTATTATTTTTCACTTGTAACATAAAATAACAGTTCACTTGTTATTTTCAATCAGAACTCATTTCACACAGCATGATTTTGAATATGATTTTGATATTGAGCATGCTAAAGTCTCATTGGTGTGGGGTCGACTCATCAAGGATTCTCTCAGAATCGCGTCTTTGATCGTTCACAGTGTGTGTTTGTTACTCATGTGAAATCAGGGCTAAAATCATGCAGTTTGAACTGGGAATAAGTGGATTTGGCTCCTTGCTCAGGGTTTCTACAAGTTTCATCAAATCAAATTTAAGACTTTTTAAGACCTTTTTAAGACCATTATGAATAAAATTTCAAACTTACACAGGGCTAAACGCTAAGTTTTTTTTTTTTTTCTAGTGGCCCAGTTAAAATATATAAAAAAAACATTCAAAACAAATATTATAGTAAGGAAGATAAACCATATGTACAGTATATAAATATAAATAGAGTTGGTAAATAGAGTTAATAAATAAGAGTTAATACATTTTATTGAGATGGAACGTTAGTGATTGGACTGATGTTGGTTCGATTGGGTAGCTTTACATAGACATTGGAAAATTAAGACCCGTTTAAAATGATTTAAGACCTACAGCACTATTTCAGTGAATTTAAGACTTTCACTTCTTTTTAAGTTTTTTTTTTTACATGTTTTTTTTTTGTTTGTTTTTCTTCACTATTTGGACTTATTGGAACCTATTTAGAATAAAACCTAAGTAGCATGTTTTGATATGATGTACTTTTAGAGAAAATGATGTCCATATATGTGGACTTGTGGTCCGAAATGACATAAAACAAATTTTGTTTTTTTATTGCATATACAGTATAACATATACATTTTTAAACATTGTAACGTTGTATTATCTGTAATGTGAAATGTTTGAGTTATACTTTTTATTTTACAACGATTTACAATGAAAAGTATTTATTTTTATATGAGAGTGTAAATACACAGCCCTAAATCATTCAAGTTTTATTCAGTCTTTGAATGAAATGTGCACGATGGATGTCTTTCCTACTGTTTGCATCTCCAATTCATAGCGGTCGGTATCAAAAGCTCTGCAACTGAACCGTCAGTAATTTAGATCTACTGTGCTTGATTTCTGAGGTTACTTTGCCATTCAACTGGAGAAAAGAGCTGAGAAAATGCCTGAAAATGGCAGAATAAATCAGGTGTTAAAATTCATCAGCAAAGCCTATCTGAGCACCAGAATGACAAGACATTAAATATGTATTATTTATTAAATGTCGCCACTTACGGAAAAGGGGGTCTAGTGATGTTAATTAGCCAGCCGCTCAGTCAAAAAAAGAGTGCTTTAAATGGAAAGTGAACGCTAAATCCAGGCACGGGTGGCTTTTTTCTGCTTTCTAAATTGACTTAGGTGGAAATGAAGAGGCTAATTACAGCTGCTCTGAAATTCAAAGCTAATTTGGGGGCCAATATGATGGACTAACTGACATCCGCCATGAAGTGGCTTGTTCGAATGGCCACCAGGGATTTGAGTGGGAGTAGCTTGCGCTTGTGTGTGTGTGTGTGTGGGGATAATCGCACACTCCTTCACTGATGCACTCTTAACCAGCTCAGCTGTGTAAGTGGTGGAGGACAGACACTGGCTTGTGTTTTATTGTGAATGTGATCGAAAGCTCTTAGACTGTTTGGCGTGTGTATGAGTGTGTGTGTGTGTGCTAGTGAGCGAGAGACTGTTTGAGGTCACTTGTGTGCTCTGCTAAGTGGAAGCGAGGGGAGCCGTTATCCACTGCCGACTGCATGCTGGGAGAGCGGGAACAAGAGAAAGGAAACATGTAGAACAGCGATGACTGGAGATGGAACTTTGAGTCTTTTCTGTTGTTCAGTAAAGAGATGGCGAGAGTGAAAGAGAGGGGAAGAGGGGTAATTATCGTCAGAAATGAGGCTCGGCGAACGATTCGCACTGCTGGGCCCGCTGATCCGGTCGCCACGGCAACGCCGACCCACTCATTTGTTTTGCAGATGAGTAATTACATCCAATTAGACTAGCGAGAGAGTGAAAAAAAGAGAAACAAATGGAAGAAGGGGTCTTTTGTTTCGCACTGATAGCTGGAATATTAATAATTGGGCTGAAGATACAATCGACAGTGATACTGTAACCAGGAGCTGAGCTGAAGTCACACCTGAGAGCGTCACCTGCACACGCTCCGCATTGCACACACTCTCCTGTCTATGGTTGCGATGGAACTGAAGAAGTTGCTGTTAGATTTTGACACAGTTATGGAATCTGCTGTACTGTCTTTGGGGCTGTCATTTTAAATTACTCTAGTGAGTAAGTAATCTGTATTTATATAGTGCATTTATCCTGTATGGCCATACATGCAAAGCGCTTCACAATCATGAGGGGGTTCTCCCCACTCCACCACCAGTGTGCAGTATCCACTTGGGTGATGTGACGGCAGCCACAGGATAATAGCGCCAGTGTGTTTACCACATAGATGGAGTGGAGAGACAGTGATGCATTTAATCCGGTGGATGGGGATGATTGGGAGGCCATGATGGGTAAGAGCCGGTTGAGGTAATTTGTATAGGACAACGGGGTTACACCCCTACTCTTTATGAGAAGTGCCACAGAGAGTCAGGACCTCGGTTTAACGTCTCATCTGAAAAACGGTGCTCACTGACAGTATAGTGTCCCCTTTGCTATACTGGGGCATTAGGACTCACACAGACCACAGGTTGAGCGCCCCCTGCTGGCCTCACTAACACCACTTCTCATGTTTTCCCATGGGGTCTCCAATCCAGCTACTGACCAGGCTCAGCCCTGCTTAGCTTCAGTGAGTAACCAGTCTTGGGCTGCAGGATGATATATAGCTGTGGCTTATTGTACATATAATGAAACTTGTTTCTAAAACAATGCCATGTGCGTTTTTAGAGCTAATAAAAAGGCTAATAAAATTATACGGCCCCTCTGTAATCTTACGTGCACTCTATTAAGGTCTGACATGGCAGATTTCCCTCTTTGTCTTTCACACCTCTGCCAGGCATGAGCTGGGTATGAGATGTAATCTTCGTTATTCTTTTGTCATTATTCTTTTGTTTATTTAGCCATTATTCGTCTTTATTCTGGGATTACCAGATTGCCCATTGCTTTGTCACTATTCTTTTGATAAAATGCATTACGAAATATACATTAGAAGCACAGTTAACATCATGCTCCCAAAGTTCAAAGATACTATGCAAATTTTTTAAATGCAGTGAAAAAGCACCAGTGAGTGTCTTCAATAATGTACAAATGCAATACTGTGTGGATTGTAAAGTGGTTTGAATGTGATATTTATAGCAACTGATTTGCACAACATCTGCTTAGCATCCTTCATTGTTGTGAAAATAACTCAAACTGAATGAAAATGGCATACAAGTCATACACTGCCATGACTGTGTTTATTAGCAGAACATGGCATGTTTCATAGGTAGGGCCATACAGTATATGAAATAAAAATAATACATTTTTAACTTTTATTTAATGTTTACAATGCAAATCCATTTAGATCCACTTATTTGGTAAACA